TGGGCGGAGTTTGCGACGAAAATTTATAACTCGGCTCCATGAAGCTCCGGAGGCTGGGGAAAAGGTGGATAGAGGTGGGTGGAGGAGTGGAGGTTAATTGTCATTGGTGGGCGGGGCCTGACCAAAGTGGGCGGAGTTTGCGACGAAAATTTATAACTCGGCTCCATGAAGCTCCGGAGGCTGGGGAAAAGGTGGATAGAGGTGGGTGGAGGAGTGGAGGTTAATTGTCATTGGTGGGCGGGGCCTGACCAAAGTGGGCGGAGTTTGCGACGAAAATTTATAACTCGGCTCCATGAAGCTCCGGAGGCTGGGGAAAAGGTGGATAGAGGTGGGTGGAGGAGTGGAGGTTAATTGTCATTGGTGGGCGGGGCCTGACCAAAGTGGGCGGAGTTTGCGACGAAAATTCATAACTCGGCTCCAAGAAGTCCCGGAGGCCGCGGAAAAGGTGGATGGAGGTGGGTGGAGGAGTGGAGGCCAGCTGTCAATGGTGGGAGGGACATGACCAAAGTGGGCGGAGTTTGCGACGAAAATTCATAACTCGGCCCCAAGAAGTCCAGGAGGCTGGGAAAAAGGGAGTAGAGGTCGGCGAAGGAAAGGAGGTCAAATGCTATTAGTGGGTAGAGCACGCCCAAGTGGGCGGAGTTTGCCAAAAGTATCGCAATTCGGTTGCAAGAGGTCCTAGAGATAGGGGAAAACGGGGTTAGAGGTTGGTGAGGGAAAAGAGCTCAACTGCTATCACTGGGTAGAGCACGCACCTAAGTGGGCGGAGTTTGCCAAAAGTGTCGTAATTTGGTTCCAAGAGGTCCCAGAGACCGGTGAAAAAGGGGGTAGAGGTCGGCGAAAAGAAGGGAGCCAAATGCTATTGGTCGGCAGGGCACGCACCGAAGTAGACGGAGTTCGCCACGAGATTTATTGTCCGGGCCGAGGACCGAGAAAAATAGGATAATGGTTGACGAAGAAAGAGCGCATAGAATTTAGCGCGGAGAATTCAGATATTCGTATTGTATCAAGCCAAATTTGAAATTTTTCGTCGCACCATCAAAATTCGCCACAGATCTGTGTTGCGCGCGCAATGCGTGCGGCGCCAACTGGTTAATAATTTGTTGCCAACTATCGGAATGTGCATCGAATACATTCTTGCTTGAACCAGAGCGATAAAAGAAAAAGGGGCAGTCCCTCAATCCGTCCGATCTGCGTTCTCAGTATATGGCCAAGTACATCCCACTCAAATGTAGAATCTATTGGAGCAGTGTTGTACATATGATGATGACCTGCTGACAGAAACTGTACTGTAGTAAACATTTTGTAACTCATGTAACCTAAGGGACAGCCTCATTTGCCCGAGGGCTTTTCCAAAACTATGGCCGTTTGTGACAGCGTCTCTAACAACAGTGTAATTCTCAACGAGGGTTTAAGGGAGAGGGAGTGGGCGCATATGTGGCCCCGTTCCTTGCAAGATGTGCTTTCATCCTTTGTAGTGCTTTCAAACAATTCCTCCTCATAAAGTTAGAGGGATGGAGCGACTGAACCTGCAAAAAATCATATGTTTTCTCACATATTTGTTTTCTGCTGCGCTACACCCTCTCCTCCTATCTGCACCACGATACCACTGATGTTACTGACCCCCCAGAGTACGACCCCCCATGACCCAGCCCTGACAGGTACGACCCCCCTGTCGAGGATTTCCTCGACCGATATTCACCCTGCTCCCAACTCTCCAAATACCCCGTGCCCCCAATCTGCAGTGGTACGAATGCTTGCTTTCAATTGCAAGATTGTTTGGCTGACGTCATTCCATGTGAGAAGTGACAACTAAATGTGCCGTAGCCTGGAAAACACTACTTTATTGGGGAAATTTGCTTTGCCCGTCTAGCGTAAATTGAATAAACATTGCTTTGACGTCATTGAGCAACAGAGTTGATTTTTCTGCAGAATTGCGATCTACTCACCATAGATCGATTTCATTCTTTCACATAGTTATATACATCATTACAAATATGCTGAGAAGTAAACAAACCTTCAATATTTAAGTGGAACTCAGTATTGGCACCTTAATATCTTACAATCTTAGCAGTCTCCCATTAAACTTTGGAATCCTTCTCTTCTCGGTGGAAAAAACTCATTCCGGTGAAGGCATTCAGCTCCATTTCGTAGAAAGAATGAAATGGACAGCGCTGCTCAATTTTTCGGAATCCGATAGAAGTGCAAGCCGCTGAAACATCTCAAGGTCCTTCACGGGAAAATCATGATTCTATTTCAGCCATAAATCACTGGCTTGAGACTCATTATCCACGATAAGAATGAAAAGAACAGAAGTATTGCTTTTGTTTTTGGTAAAAAATTCGGGAAAACTCGAAAACGAAATCGCGAAATCAAAAGGGGCTGC